AAAATCTCCTTTGAGTCTGGATACATGGGTATTATTTACTCAACCTCTTACCATCAAACTATATTGAAACATTTAGGAAAAGAGGGATTAGAAAATTGAATTGCTCTCGCTTCTTCTTAATATAATGCTGCTGTAATCCCTCTAACTTTACTTGTTCACAGCAGACTGAAAAGAAGATTTCTACGTCTTCTCTCAGGTTCACTTCTCAGGTTCTGGCAGCAGGCAGTCTAATAACACTGTCAAATAACACAGAAATCAATGTGGTTAAATGGTGGTGAAGCTCCCACCTCAGGCAGGAGTCGACAGCAAGCTGAAGGGTCCCAGCTCTTTCACAAAGTGACTGTTTAATTCGGAAAACAAAAATAACCCCAAAGGAAGCCTGTTTACATTGACTGATATTTGTTGTTTTACCCATTTTTTTTTTATTGATATGCAAAACGACAAATAGGAACAATACTGTCAAGTGTTACAAATACATCTGTCAAATAAACAGAGGTGGGATGTTTTTACTCGCTATGCAGAATAAGATGCAAGCTAATAAATAAATAAATAAAACACTGTCAGTTAAACATCTTGTATTGGGGTATTCTTGTGGTTGCACATACCACTGTAACCGTGATGTTTTCAGTTCAGTTCCAGTCATACTATCGCACTGTCAAATAAAGACAAAATTGCCTTCATTATATATATTATTACATATTGTACTGCCAAAATGTCAACAGCTTTGTTTCAGCCTCTTTGATATGATCAGAACAGCATGCAATTCTTTATCTAATTTGAAAGCATGAAAATCATATTTATGCATTGCTGGAGCTTTGCAGTAGTTCAGACAGAGCACTGAAGTCTTGCATTAGCTAATCTAAGTCACATTCATGGTCTGTATTATTGGCTCATTGATGAATCATCTGCTTGGCTTCCAGCGAGTCACATCCAATCAAATTTGTGTACTAGCTTGGCTTTATAAATTGTCAATTTTTGATTCACCTGTGCAACACTGGCTGCAAACCACCACATGCTAAAGGATGTAAAAGTGTACATTCTAAGCTTGGATGAACATGTATGTTTTCATCCATCTCTTATTGTATGTCATAATGTATTAGAGGATCATCTCTCTCAGCACAATTCTTATTGCTGTTCGGATGTACCGATAGCCATACCAAATTTGTCTGAATATTTCTAAATAAATGGTCAATTCCTTGTTGTAAGTGTGTCAGACTGAACTATAATTTTAACCACTTAAACATATAATAAAGTTACTATAATTAGATTTAGTGCTACCTGAATGTTTTACTTTGAAATATTGTTTACAGGTAAATACATCATTTAATTGCCAGTCTTAAAAAGAGATTATTCTTTGTAATAAGTACTTTTCCTTTTAATAAATAGATATATTTTTTTGCGAACACTAATGCTACCCTGATATTCTAATCTAAAACAACACAGAACAGCTCAAACTGTTGCAAAACACTTTTCATGTCATCTCTTGTGCAGCTAGATTTTATCTGTAATGAATTTTACAACTGTTTTCTGTACAAGCTGGAATCAACAGAAAGTGATAGAGGATGAGCTGACAAGTGCATGTAGGTTATCTCTCCATAGTAATACAACTCCTAAACTAAAGGAATGGAAGACGTTTGACAAACTTGAGCTGTTATTAATAACCAGCTGAAGATGTGGACATAAAGCTCTGCCGACCCCCTTAAAATCACACAAAAGGCCCTTTCCTTTCCTTTGCTGCAGTTGTTTTGCAGTGTTTTTTCCTGGTGCACTTAGTGTGGTATTGATCATTGTTGGTCCAAGTCCTCAGGAATCAGCTTCTATTGATTTCACTTCAGTTGTAAGCCTCTCTTTCTGACCTATGTCTCTTTTCAGCCCAAGCACCTTTTCAAACATCTTCACCTCTCTGCTGAGAGTTTACTAAAACATGTCATTACTACAGCACTTTCCAAGCAAATTTCCAAAATCGTTTGTACTTGGATTCATAAAAAGGAGAGGCCATTATAGCTATTTTCAGCTATTAGCTGTT